CAAGGGTCTGTTTTTTCTAAAATATGTGGATTAGCTACTTTAACCCCATTGACATCAAGAGGAAAGGAGTGGTTAAAGGGTTGCACATGCAACCTATGCATTCTTCTGCATGGTGTAGGAATTTTAATTCATATTAGTGAGAGTTGGAAGATGATGGTTGTTCTGCATTCACCACTCCTAAAAGAGTGTGAATTTGTGCATGTGTGCAGTGGTGTGGTGGTTAAGAACAGCATCCTCTAATCTAGAGAACGGGGTTTCATTCCCTAATCCTCCGCATGAAGCCTGCTGGGTTACCTTGGGCCAGTCATGGTTCTCTCAGAACTCTCTCAGCCCCACCTACTTCACAAGGTGCCTGTTGTGGGGAGAGGAAGGGAAGGTGCTGCTGCTTTGAGACTCCTTAAAGCAGAAGAAAACGGGATATAAAAGTCTTCTTTTCTTCTTCGTATGTATATCCCCAAGAAACTAGGAAATCCTACCATGCCCTCAACCTGCGACTGCTAACTTTACATATGGTTTAGGAGGAGAATGTACTCTGCTTCCATTATATTCAACACATGCTTGTTGTGCGGAAGCGTGCTTCCCACTTGAAAGATCAGATTCTCAGTGTGTTGCTAGCTGCCAATGTGGAAAGAGGTCCCCTAACAGAAGTGCCTCATTACAAGTGATCTATATTTACCTTTCATTCTCCTGCCACAGGGGAAGCTGAAGCTGCCTCCACACCTTGTGCCAAGTTTTTCACCAGATTGCATCTCTCCCATTTCCCACCTACAAAAGCACACAATGGCTTGGATCCCATCAAGGTTAAAAAGGAGGGTGATTTTCACCAGTGCTCTCCCCCCCCCCCCCAAGATATTCCTGGGGATCCCTCATGTCCCAGGAAGAACAGGTTGGGGATTGATTGGAGCTGCCATGGGAGGAGCTGCCCCACCCCTGCACCCACAGAAATCTGGGTGGGATCTAAACTATGGCTTCCCTCTTGCCCACAACAGGTGGAGGAAGGGGGTGAGTGACAGTACTGAGGAAGAACCACCAAGAAAAGCAGAAACAGCCCCCGTGTTTCTGATGAAGCAGGTAAAAAGTATATCTCCAGGATGCCACCTGGGAAGGGCAGAATATGACCAGCCTCTGTACTATTCAGATGTCCAAGCCAATTACGAGCAGAGGGATGTCTTCTCCTTTGAAAAGGAGTCCACATGTCTTATGTCAAACAACTAATGTAAGCCATTAACGGGAGAGCTGAAGGCATTCAGAACAGAGAAAGGGGGGAAAGAAAGCAGATAGCACAATAGCAAACCTTAGTTTATTTTTTTAATTAAGGTTTCATTCACCAGGGAAAGGCTTAGATACTATGTCAGTTTAAGTTATTATAACTCTCCATTCACTTCAATAGCAAGGCTTGCTTTAAAATCATTACACCACATCACCTAATTTTTTTTAAAAAAGGAAAGATGTGAACTACATATACACATTGCTGTGCTCTAAATTAACTGCAGTCACTCAGGGAAAAGCTGACTTTGCTCCCCACCCCACCCCCATCTACAGCCCAGGTCCTCCATAAACCACCCTTCTGAGATTTTGTGTGAGCATCCCCACATTCACTGTGAGCTGTGCCCACTGTTGAAACCCTTCCATTGGGGAACACCTGGGGAGGGGGAGAGATGGGTCTCTGTGTTAGGAAACACAGTGGCAGAAGTAGAGAGGAATAGATTGGTACCAAGTACCAGCAAAACTTTATGGAGTTCTGGAAAACATTTCACCTACAGTCACCACTAAGGTTAGACGTATCGGGTATAATTTTATGGGAATTCGGGAGGGGGAGGGAGGGGCACACATAATCCACATACTTCATCTGATGCACACAAGAGCATGAGGATTTTACTCAGCAGTGGCCAGTCAGATGGCCTTGGGATGTTCTTTAGTGGGCCCTGATGGGAGTTCACCATCACCAGGATGTGGGTTCAGAGATGCTCTGGCTCAGTACATGGAGACTTCATTCAGCCAGAATCTGTAGGTTCTACTTAGTTGGCATGGCTAATAGCCCCTGATAGACCTATCTTCCATTTATTTACCTAAGCTGATTTTTAAAAGTCAACCTCTTTGCCAGAGGCCATCACAAATACAAAAGGGTTTGCTGACTCAGGATGCTGGGCAGCACTCTTGCATGGTTATTGACCTGTTAAAAAAACCCACCCCCTTCGATTTCACTTGAAATTTTGGGTCCACCAATTTGTGGTTGTCAAGGCAGACAGACCCACTGTGGTCTGATCCAAAGTCTAGCTGTGCTGGCACAAAAACACTTAGGAGAGGGTTTATCAAGCGCCATACCAGTGCCACATCACAAACCGTATTTCTATGACAACACTGCAGGTGAATTTTAGAAATGATGTGGGCAGCAGAAGCATTTGCAATGGGTGATGTTGTGTAAAGTTGACTTGATCTAAGCAAATGAAAAAATTAACACACAATGCTAGAAAAAAGAGTAATCTACAAATAATAGTAGAAGAATTCTAAAGCTCTCTATATTAGCCAAGAGTTTGCCCTCTGAAATACAAAACGGAGACAGCAGACAGAAATGTGTTAAAAATGAATTCAGTGAGAATGATTCCAGGACACAGGAATGGGTCTAGAAATGCTGGGGTTTTGTTTCCTCATATTTGTAGAATTAGGGGACACCATTTGCCTGCTCCTCTAGATCACGTTCAAGATGGTTTAACCAAAAAAAAAAAAAGCCAATAGTCCAAAATGTTTAATTAACCCGTAGAATCAACTGCTATAATATGCCAAAAGAGCCAAGGTTAGATTTCCTACCAGACATTCTATTAATGACAAACATTTTCATAAAGGATGCCTACAGAAAAGAATAAAAGCTAACCACAAAAATTACGCAGATATAGCAAACAACAGTCTTCTATGGACAGCTAATTCCAATTTTTTCCCACTGTGTTATTTTTATAGTTTCCATTTCAGTCTACCTCCATTAGATCTAAATTTGTAGGCCCACCTTGCTTCTAATGCTCAGGGTGGGTCCCAACACTGCCTTATTTCAACAGTTAAGCACAACTACCCAGCTACATAGACCACCGGCACTCCTATTTTTAAAGAGGAGGAGCAGAGGCACAGTGGGTCCACAGCTAAGCTGAGGTTCAAATTAAAAATTTTTTTCTCCAGTCTGGCTGGAGGGACCACTAACTTTATCAGAATCGATCACTCACTTCTAGACATAAACCAGATGACACGAGGGGACATACAGAAACCAACAAGTGAATGTCACATTCTTCCTGAACACTCCCTCCTGGTCTGTAGGGCTGCAATTCTTAAATAAAAGAAGACTTCTACAAGAACACAAACTCATTAACAAATCTGATACCGTTTCTAAGGATCTGAATAAGGATTATGGGTGCTTTACTCACTACAAAAGGTCAACCGTCCTCTATTTCATTCGGCTTTGTTTTCATAAAAATTTGGTGGTCCAGTAATCTGAGCATGTTGTGTTACCTTCAGTTTTGACGTTGTTAATTTGGTTTTTAACCTCTCTGTGTGCGTGTACATATATATATTTATTCATATACTTTACAGAGACACACACCCCATCCACGTTCTCAGTCCACTGTGTGAGCACATGATGGCATCTGTTGCCTTTGAAATCCCAGGCCACAATAACCACTCCGTCTCTAGGGTGACAGAAGCACAATCTGTCTTCCTGTTGCTATAGAACAGCATGCCTCTTCTGCCTCCAATGTCCATTTCTACTAGCCATGCTGCTGAAAAAGTGCAGCAAAGGGCAGGGGGAAAATGCACAGTTCCAGGGTCTCAAAAACTTGCCTTTTATGGATGCTTCAAGAGAATTCAACCTATCTAGCTTACCAAAGAGACATCTGTAAGATGAATTTTCTGTAGAAACCTATGTGGCATGTAGATTTCTACAGAACATGGGCTTTTTTTCTTCTAATTTATCAGACAATTAATACAGCATGATCCAATAGCTGGGAGCTACCATCCAAAAGTTAAGCCCCAAAGCATAAGGCTACTGAGATTAATTTACTACTAGCACTATCTCCTAAGGGAAGTGGGCAGGTTCTCCGTCACGTGAGAGTCTTTGCATAGAGATTGGGAGTCTTTTTCTTAAAGAGAGACCTGCAGCCTTGCTTGCGTAGGTAGTCAGAAGAGCCAGAAAGAAGAACAGAAGCCCAGCGAACCAAAATACTCTGGAGCAGAATCAACAGATGGTTCACCCACAACTCAGTGCAATAACTGAATATCAATCTATTAATTCTGCAGGACCTTGACGAAAACCCAAATGTTATAAGACAAAATTTCTCAAGTTCTCACAGTATTCCATTCAAGGGACTATTTGGAAATATTAGCTATGTTACAGAGAACACCCTTACTTTGGTGAAGGTTGGTATTCACATGTGAATGTCAGCACATACCAAAACTCGGCCAATGACCACTGGCCGTCACCTCTGTGGGACTGTCAGCATTCAGGGGCACAAGCCTCAAAGCTAGGCAAGTCTATTTTCAAACATTCATTCACACTATTCAGCTAGGATAACTGACATTGGATTGTGAATGCCAACGCTCGTTAAATGTTGAGCATCCACTGGAATATACAGCACATTCTGAACTCATTAAAGAGAGGGTAGACTTAAGTACAAAGTCTGAGTCCAGTGGCACCTTTAAGGTCAACAAAGCTGCCATTTCATTATTTCTGAGTTAGTGTGCGTGCGCATGAAAGCTCACCTTGAATAAAACTTTGTTGGTCTTAAACGTGCCACTGGACTCAAACTTTGTTCTGCTGCTTCAAACCAACACAGCTACCCACCAGTGTAGACTTAACACATTGATATCCAGTAGCTGTACTGAGTCATGGATGAGTCCTTTGGCGGTCTCCTATCAATCAGGCTGGTAGTTTCTGCATCCTTCAGATCAGTAGGCTCCTCGAGGCGTGCAGTCCCTTACCCCCTTGCTCCCTCCCGCACCGTGAGAACAACCTGTTAAAACAATGGGACAGAATAAGCAAACAAGGGGTTCTCTCTGTTGTGGATCTTCTCGTGTCTCTTGTGGTGGGAGCTGTGGCTGAAACACTTGCCACAAAACCGGCACGCATAAGGCTTCTCCCCGGTGTGGATCCGGTGGTGCTGAACCAGGGTGGATTTGTCAGTGAAGCAATTCCCACACTCCGAGCATACATACGGCTTCTCGCCCGTGTGGATTCGCTGGTGTCTGAAGAGGTTGGAGCTGACATTGAAGCTCTTCTCACAGATGTTGCACTTGTAGGGCTTCTCCCCTGTGTGGATGCGCATGTGTTTGATAAGGTCAGCGTTGTGGCTGAAGCTCCGCAAACATTCCGTGCAGGTGTTCAGCACCTCCGGCTTCTGCTTTGGTTTCGGTTTCTCACCACCACCACCGCTGCTGGCATCGGCGCCATCCTCACCCGAGGTGCACGTCTCCATCTGTTCTTCCACCGAGTCCTTCAGGTGTTTCTTCTTGTGCGAGCTGCGGCTGTAGCTTTTGCCACAGTCGATACACTCGTAGGGCTTCTCGCCCGTGTGTATCCGCTGGTGCTGGGTGAGGTTGGATTTGTCATTGAACCGTTTGCCACAGTCGAGACATATATACGGCTTCTCCCCTGTGTGGATTCTCTGGTGCCGGTTCAGGCTAGAGCGGACTGTAAAGCTTTTCCCACATTCAGAGCACTTGTGCGGCTTATCCTCTGGCTGCACTGGCCACTGACTGACGAGGCTTGAGTTCTGGATGAAGACTTTCCCGCACTCGATGCAAATATCGGGGATCTCTTCTGTTTGAGTCCCCCGATGCACCAAAAAGACTTTGCGTTTCTTGATGGTCTGGACAGGTTTCACTGGCCACGTCATTGACGGAATTTTCTTCTCCCTCACTTCACCTCCGCGAGACTGACTGTGTCCGGGACTTAAGCTTAACATCTTAAGGAGTTTACGTTTGGTCACGAGTTGTGATCGAGCCTCCTCCGGGCTAAAGTTCTCCTCCATGTGGCTCATTTTGCGACGTCTTCTTACCTAGCAGGAAATCAACCACATTGGGTTTTTTTTTTAAAGAAGTGGGGAAGGAGAATTCTCACGCAACAAATTAATCGACATCGTCATGGCCGGCACCTTTATCCAGCTTTAAATTTACAACTTTCACAATTAACCTGATGCATGGAAATTGTGGCACCCCCAAAGCAAGTTCCAAGTGTCAGTGTCACTTTCGGATGCTTCCACTCTTTTTACTTGTTTCCCTACTTCGAAGATACAACAGGAGAAAAAGTGATGCAGGAAGTAGCCCTCAAACTGGGACTGGCAAAAAATATGGAGAGACCAATTGCTCCTGATTGCCTTAGGAAGACAGACCAGCTATTTCTACCTAGAAGAGAACATTTAGCACAAAATCATAAGAGCGAAAATCTCTGAAGGGCCTGCTGCTCAGCTCTGCCCACTGCTCTGCTGTCTGAGTTTTGTGTGCATCACAAGGACAGAAAAGACCAAAACACTTGCATCATTCAATGGCCTAAGAACACTAAGGAGGTTTTAAAATTACTTTTTAAAGAGCAAGTTTCTAGTCTTTCTTGTTGGGAAGGAGTGTGGCATGCCAAGCTGGGGTTTGCCCCAATCACAAAAATATCTGGAAATGGTCTACACCCAACCTCATGCAGGGCAGCCACACAAGCCAAAAGCATCACCTGCCAGAGTCGTGCATCGTTTCAGATGCAGCCCCCAAAATGTGAGAACACACAGCAGCATCCTCAGAAAGGGCCCACTGCTCCCTGAAAAGGGAAGCAGACAACTGGCATCTCTGGTGGGGCTGGATTTAGCTCCCAAATTGTCAGTTGCCGCTCCACTGTTGGGCTAGATAAGGAGCAACACTCGATGTTGTGAAAGGTTGCTTTTGCAACCCTGCATGCTCCTTAGAAGGAGAGGTGGCTGACCATCCCCCACAGGGATTCTTCAAGATTAACTGTCACCCACACCCGACCTCAGGCTTCTTTCAAAGTAGTTCCTCTCTACCAAGAGAAAACCAGTCTTCCAGCACCGCAAACTCTTGAGATTTGCTTTGCTTACTCAGGGCCCCTTCTCAGGAACAAAGCTGCCAACCAACAGGATTATTTACAAATGATACACACCTCAGTACCTACCACAAGCTGCTGCTGTCCTGTACATTGCTTGAATGTAAAGGGCCTGGGTGCATTCTGAGAATAGGGCATCCTTTGCATGTATTTTGTGCCCCTGAAACAGAGCCCTAAATCCAAAGTGTGATGTCCCGGGAGGGCCGCGGTGGGAGGGAAAAGTCCTCTGCACACGCTCAGAGCCACCCTTCCTACCTCAGCATGCCACATGTTGAAAGGCTCCGATCTAACCCCCTACAGAAAAGAGATCTGCCACCCACAGCATGCGGATTACGGCTGCAGCACTGGCACAGAGGAGAGCCAAGACCAGTGCGCCAGGCCAGAGGCGGCCGGCGAGGAGCGACCTGGTTCCTAGCACCGCAATCCGGAGCCATTCTCCCCCCACCCCACCCCAGGCCCGGATGGTTCCGCCGGAGCGGCGTGCTACAAAAGGAGCAAACCTGAGCCTGCACAAAAATCGGGTGCTTTCCCCACCCCCACTGGGCCACGCTTCTCTCTCTCTCTCGGTTTGCAATTCGGGGGTTGCTCATCCCTACCTGGCGATCAAGGCAGCCAGAGCTCATGCGGGTCAGCAAAGGCAGCTTGCGGCGGAATCCCCTGTCCGGTGGCGACCCAAAATAGAGGGGGAGGGGGAGAGAAAGAGGACGCCTTTGTGCGGCTATTGCAGCCCCTTCTTTGGCTCGGAGCTTAGTGGTCGAAAGGGGCGAACCCCCCCCCCCCCCCCCCCGCCCGGATCAGCCCCTTCACCCGCCTCCCCAATTCATTGAAGGCTGCTAGAGGATCATTCCCGGACGGAGATCTTTCCCCTTCGCCTGGAGAACAGCCGGTGTCGAGCGCGGGCTTCCCCCTCCACGATGGAAGAAGAAGAAGAGGGGGAGGCGGCGGCAGCTTGCAGCAGCTACCTCTGACCCAGGAAACTCAATCCTAAAGGCTGACCCTACGAACAAAGAAAGAAGCCTCGCAGCAATGCCAGAGCCCTCTACTGGCCGACGGCGACACTCGGCCGGGACTCCAAACAACCGCCGGCCTGAAGCAGCCCGAGTTCTTATTAATAGTACTAGTAGAGAACTGCCAGAAGTACAAGCTGGGTTTCGAAGAGGTAGAGGAACTAGAGATCAAATTGCCAACATCCGCTGGATTATGGAGAAAGCAAGAGAGTACCAGAAAAACATCTACTTCTGCTTCATTGACTATGCTAAAGCCTTTGACTGTGTGGATCACAACAAACTATGGCAGGTCCTTAAAGAGATGGGAGTACCAGACCACCTCACATGTCTCTTGAGAAACCTGTATAAGGGCCAAGAAGCGACAGTTAGAACCGGATATGGAACAACTGATTGGTTTAGCATAGGAAAAGGAGTACGACAAGGATGTATACTGTCACCTTGCTTATTTAATATATATGCAGAGTACATCATGCGAAATGCTGGCCTGGATGAATCACAAGCGGGAATTAAGATTGCTGGGGAAAAGATCAACAACCTCAGATATGCAGATGATGCCACTCTAATGGCTGAAAGTGAAGAGGACCTAAAGAGCCTCTTGCTCAGTATAAAAGAGGAGAGCGCAAAAGTGGGCTCGAAGCTCAACATCAAAAAAACTAAGATCATGGCATCCGGCCCCATCACTCCTTGGCAAATAGAAGGGGAAGTCGTGGAAGTAGAGACAGACTTCACGTTCCTGGGATCCCAGATCACCGCAGACTGTGACAGCAGCCATGAAATTAAAAGATGCCTGCTCCTTGGGAGGAAAGCGATGGCGAACCTAAACAGCATGATCAAAAGTAGAGACATCACCCTGCCAACAAAAGTCTGCATGGTCAAAGCAATGGTATTCCCAGTAGTCATGTATGGCTGCGAGAGTTGGACTATAAGGAAGGCCGAGCGCCGAAGAATAGATTCTTTTGAACTATGGTGCTGGACAAGGCTCTTGAGAGTCCCTTGGACTGCAAGAAGATCAAATCAGTCAATCCTAAAAGAAATCAACCCTGACTGTTCCCTGGAAGGCCAGATAATGAAACTGAAGCTCAAATACTTTGGCCACCAAATGAGAAGGGAGCACTCACTGGAGAAGACCCTGATGCTGGGAAAGATTGAAGGCCAAAGAAGACGGGGACGGCAAAGGAAGAGATGGTTAGACAGTGTCATAGATGCAACGAACATGAAATTGAGCAAACTTCAGAGGACGGCGGAAGACAGGAGGGCCTGGCGTGATCTGGTCCATGGGGTCGCGAAGAGTCGGACTCGACTGTGCGACTGAACAACAAAAGTCAAACTTGTACCCTGCATTGCTTGTGTTGCGGAACTCAAGGCGGTTTATAGGGGACTACCAAGAGGTCTCCCATTCAGGCGCAAACCAACTTCACCCCTGTTATCGTATCCCCTCCAATACACTTCGGGTCCCCACTTTTGGGTGTTGTTCGAAGCCTTGCAAAATTGGCACTTTAGGCAGGCAGACTCTCCCAACGGATTTTAGAAGACCTTTAAGCATGTGCAGAACGGCCCTCCTAAACAAGGTGGCCAGCTGGCTAAACATTAAAGCAAGTCCAGACCACCCTTCTCTTGTCTGTTTAGCAAGAGATCTGTTATGGAGAAATCAGCAGGCAAAAGCGTTCAGGGCACCATACCCAACTAACTGTTGCCAAAACAAAAGCTTGTGGCATTCGAAAAAAACTTAATAGATTTGTTGTGGCATAAGCTTTGGTGAGCAGAGGTCATTTCGGGGGGGAACGCAGGGGAACGCAGTTCCCCCGGGTGAGGTGCAGGGGTGGGGCACATGACGAAGCCCCGCCCCCTGCTTCTGGCCGCCCCACTTCCAGCCCTCATTCAGCCAGGAGGAGGCAGGAGAAGAGGGAGGGTAAGTTGCTTCCTCCCTGCCTCTCCCCACCCCTGCCTGCCTGGGGCCAGGGAGGGCCTTGGCGGGGCTTCCTTGCACTCCCGCTGGCCTTGCAGGTCCACCTCCGGGCCCCTGATGTCAGGGGGTGTGGCATATGCTAATGAGTTATGCTAATGAGTTCCCCTAGCTCTTTTTCTACGAAATGACCCCTGGGCTAGAGCCCCCGGCGCCATTGGCTCTAGGAGATCCAGGTTTGACTCCCCACTGCCATGGAAGCTTGCTGAGTGATCCTGGTCTGACCACACATTCTCAGCCTGACCTCCCTCATAGGGTTGTTGTGAGGATAAAATGGAGAAGAGACCCATCTAAGCCACTTTGGGTCCCCTTGGGGAAGAAACATGGAGCATGAATGAATCATTGAATGCATGAACTGAAACCTCAGTCCCCCAGCTCTTGGGAGGGGCTCTTTACAAAGTTATGGCCGCCGTCACTGTTCTCGGGGGAGATGGGGCGGGGCGAAATGTTCCCTTGCATCCCTGAGCCCCGGGGTGGTGGCCTTGGACTTGTAGGGGCAAATTCCACCTCTCACGTGTGATGTCGGACATCACACGCGAGAGGTCACTCTGGCTCTCCCAGCTCTCGGGAGGGGCTCTTTAAAAAGCTATGGCCGCTGTCACTGTTCTCGGTGGCAGCTGCAACGCCCATGCGGGGGGGAGGGGCGGGGCGAAACGTTCCCTTGTCTCCCTGAGCCCCGGGGTGGTGGCCTTGGACTCGTAGGGGCAAATTCCACCTCTCACGTGTGAGGTATTCGCCGCCTCCCCTCCTGCCTGCTATGGCTGCATAATTGTGAGAGATTTCTTAACATAGTGTTCCTGCCAGGGAAGCTGGGGACCCTGCCCATGAGTCTCCATTTCATCCTCACAACAACCCTGTGGGGTAGGTTAGGTAGAGAGAAGGGGAGATTTGGCCCGGGGTCACTCAGCCAGCAGAGTGAGAATACAAACCTGGGTCTCCCCACATCAATCTGCAACTCTGACCACTGTGCAGTGCTGCCTCTACTGATCTGTAATGTTCCAGAGGTGTTGTAATGTAATACTCAGTTTCTCAAACGAGTGTATGACTGTCTGTTGGTCCACTTAGGAGTCTTGATCCTGGTTGTGTGGTGGGCTAGTTGTGGAGTGATAGGGTCTCTCCAAATGATTGCCAGAAGTGAGATGTGTCCTGGTCTTGTGTCTTACAGATAATCTTACAAATAGTCCTTTGCATTTATATCATGCTTTCAACTTTAAAAGGATCATAATGCTGATTGTGTGAACTTAGGCAAATCACGAGAGGTAGAGCAGGAAGGGTTGCATCAGTGCTTAGTTCTTGTGGCCCTTTCTTAGACGCCCAAGGAAATGCTGATCGCCACTTTGGGACCAGGAAGCAATTTTTCTCTAGGCCAGTTTGGCCCCAGTATCCTGGAGGGTTTTTTAAATCATATTCTGGGCATGGAACAGGGGTCACTGGGGTGTGTGGGGGGTATTGGTGAATTTCCTGCATTGTGCAGGGGGTTGGACTAGATGACCCTGGAGGTCCCTTCCCACTCTATGAGTCTATGATTCTATAATTCACCCAGGCTGGCTGTGGGCAGGCCAGCACCTCTGTCAGGCAGAAGCACCTGAGATCCTCCCCCTCCCCTTTTCCTTCGCCCAACTTGGAGGCGAAGGGAAGGGAGAGGGGGGAAAGAATAGATCCCAGGTGCTTCTGCCTGTCAGAGGGGCTGGTGCATACTTCCGGTGATGTCAGGGGGTGCGGCATATGCTAATAAGTTATGCTAATGAGGTCCTGCAGCTCTTTTTCTACGAAATGACCCCTGACCTTTAGGTACCAACATTGCGTAACTTCTTAGTGTTGCAGCTGCTCAAACCACTCAGGTGTAGCTAATTTTAGTTTTATGTTTAGTTTTCCCACTTTTGGGGGGGGGGCAGGAGGGCCTGGCGTGATGTGGTCCTGGTCCATGGGGTTGTGAAGAGTCGGACTCGACTGTGCGACTGAACAACAAATCATATTTGTCACTGTAAAGGTTGTACTAATTCTCATAGCCGCTGAGATGTTAACATCCTGTTTGAAGAGATGGATGAGGGTTTGATAAGATCAGTTTAACCTTTGTGCATACTTTACAGATTTGGCCTGTGGAAAGTTACTGAGGTTGGGCCTCAAGCACAGAACCAAAAGCTCATGAACTATACTGGTTACAAACAACAAGACAACTAGCAGTCTGCATGGGAGAGCTGACACATAAGGATACCCACTGGCATCCTCATTATGATGTGTTTTATTTCTCTCTTCTACCTTCCAGTTTTCACCACAGCATCATGATGCAGGAGGCCTGTGAGGAGTAGGGTTGCCATCAGGCC